AGTGCTTATTCCTTCCACTAAATGCTCCATGGTCATCTCAAAGGCAGCCTGTCCTGAAGAGAACTCTGAACTTCTTTGCCCTCACTCCCAAGGCTGCCACCATCCCTGCACGGTCCCCAGTCAGCCCTTTGGCAGCCTTCAGCATCCTCATCCTCTTTCATTCCCGTGCCTCATGAGCTGTTCATTCTCCTTTGTTGCGACATCTCTTGCCTCATCCCTTCTCTTCTGGACTGGTGCAGCTGTCCTCCATTCTCTTGACAGTGTGAAATTGATGTTCTGAAAGCACAGATCCTTCTGAGGACAAAATGCTCAATTGGGCCTCCAAGGCCCTGCTGCCTCACTTTCCAGTCTGATCTCGTACTGTTGTTCTTGGCATGCTCTCATGGTCCCATCTCCTGCTCCTAGAATCTGGAGCTCCCTTCATAAGCCCAGCCCAGGGGCAGCTAGGTGGTGCAGTGAATAGCACACCTTCCCTGGAGTCAGGAGGACCTGAGTTCAAATCTGGCCTCAGACACATGATACTCACTAGCTGTGTGACCCTGGGCAAGTCACTTAACTCTGATGCCTCACAAAAAAAATGCAGCCCAGTCCACCTGCCACGTCTTCCATGAGATTCTTTGAGATCCCTCTCCCTACTCCTGACATTGTTCAAAGAGCTCTTGAAATTACCATGTAAGTGCTTTGTTTTTATTTATCTATGGATGCTGTACATGGGGGCTATGGTGTAGTGAAAGAAGTGCTGGGTCCAAATCCACCTCCTTCATTTACCAGCTTTGTGATTTGGGGCCTCAAAGGGGCCTTCTAGCAGGGCCATTGTCCCCCTCCCCCTCTAAGTCTGGGATGCAGGGGCATTGTCCCCTTCCCCCTCTAAGTCTGGGATGTAGGGGAGCCCCTTTGTTTTCAGTCTCAGGGTAGAGTTGGTTAGCCACTTCCAGTTCCGTGGCACTGCCTTCTGTTTCATCCCTGAGTGGTTCGCGTATTGATGCCCATCCCCTGTGGTTCAGCTCTTCACACTGACCCTAATTTGTCTGAGCTGTGCCCTCCCCTCCCAGAGCTGCCCTGGGGACTGTGGGGGAGTGACCCTAGGCAGAGGGATCCTGGTTCTTTCTTCCACCCTGAGCCTTCCTAATCCTGGGAGCTGCCCTTGGCCAGGAAATGCCAGCTCACGGGGCTGATTGTGGTTGAAGACATAATAAGGGCTGGAAATTAGTTTGAGTGATTTCATTCCCACTTTATAGATGTTGAAACTGAGACTTGGAGCAGCTGAGTAATTTGCCCCAGGTCATTGTATGCACAGTCTCTCAGAGATAACTCCCCCTCCCCCCCTCACTCCATGAGTGAGCCTTCTCTCTGGCATCCGTGATACTCTTTTTTGTTCCCCTCCTTCAACTTCTTCTTCAACTTCCTCTCTCTGATTATGTAGTGGAGAAAGGGCAGCCATGCCTACCCCACCACCCTCCCCCTTGGCACCAGTCAGGACAAATTGGGGCACAGGCCACCTGCCTCCCTCATCACGGTGCCCCACCCAGAGCTGTGGTGTCTCCAGGTGCCCAAGCCTGGCTTTGTGAGTCTATCCTGAGTAATATCCTGAGTAATTTAGGTCATCCTCCTCACCCATGTGTTGTTGCCTCTGTCCCCTCAGTTTCCCCTCAGAGCCTCTTCAGCAGGGCTTCCATTCAGCCTGGGCCCTGACTACCCGGCCATTATGATCCACACAGGGCCAGAAGAAGGGTAAGGGGCTTCCTATTGGCAGCTAGGGGTGGCACCAGAGACCATCCTACCTCATTTAGTGCCGATTAGAGAATCTCAGGGCTCCAGTGGGTCTCGGGGACACCTGGGTTTGGCTGGTCCCTAGACAAGAATCATCTGCAAGGCCTACCCAGCGGGCAGGTGGTTTCTCTTTGCATCTTTCCGGGGACAGAGAGCTCACCACCACTTGGAATAGCTCCTTCCATTCTGAGATTGCTGTCACTGTTGGGAAGTCTGCCCTGATATCCGGCCTCACCTGCCTTTTAAGGGTTGCAGAGCATGTCTGAGCCTTCTTCTCCTTAGATCTTGACCGTGACTGTGACCAGTAGGTACGTCTGATTGATACTTGCTGTTTCTGCCCAGAGGGTGACTGGACTGGGGCCTCTTCCAAGGAACATGGACTTGCCTCAGGTCACTGTATGCCCAGTGTCTCAGAGATAACTCCCCCTTCCCCCCTCACTCCATGAGTGAGTACTAGCAGCTGTTCCTCATGGGAGCCTCCTCTCTGGCATCAGTGATACCACTTCAGCTTCTTCAACTTCCTCTCTTGGGAGCTTGGGACCCCTTGCTAGCCAATACCAAGGAGGATTTTCCTGGCCTCACCATCCTGGCTTCTCCTTGGGTCCGTGTCCAGCATGATACGAGAGATGAAGTCTTGAGAGGGTGGTGGGTAGTGAGGGATCCCTGGGCCCAGAGGGAGAGCACATAAGAAACACCACCAAGTCATGAGTGACTTCTGAGGCAATTTCAGTTGGGGGAGATAGATAAAGAGCCTGTGAAGGCCTGTAGGCAGTGGGAATTTGGGGAGCTCCGCAGGGGAGGATGAGGAAGAGGAAGGCATGAAGAGCAGGAGGGGCTTTGGCTGACTCATCCATCAGCCCCTTTGGGAACCATATACCTATGCTTGGCTATCAAGGACATGGGGAAAGGTTTGGTCACATGACCCTCAATTGAGAATGGGGGTGGGCGGGGGGTCTTGTCTGACCCATCCTCCCCAGTCACACAGCCCATGACAGAGCAGGGCCTTCCCTGCGTCTTCCTGGCTCTCAGACTGGCCTCTTGAGTAACTCTGTCCCCAGACGAGCCCCAAGGCAAAGTGGAGCCTCTTTCCCAGACCCTCCATCATAGTCTGAGCTCACCATTGGCCCAGCCTGGAGCTGGCAGAGCCCAGCCTTCCTCCTCCAGGCCCCTCTGGGCACCTCACAAGCAATAGATCAAAGTTCTGTGTCATTCTCCAGGGTCATGAAAAGGGGAGTTCCTGGCGGCTGCTTCCTAAGAGCTGGCTGCATGCGGTCTTCCTTTCTTGGAGACCCCTCTGACAGAAGCTTTGTAACATAGAATCTGAGAGCTGGAAGGAGGGACCCAAGTAGTTCTCTCAGCCCCCTTGCCTTACTGCCCAAGGAATCTGTGGCACAGCTGGGGTCAGATCTGCGTGACCTGGGCCTCAGATTGCTTCTCTGTAAAATGAGGCCGTTAGACTTGCTGAACTCTGTGGTCCTTTCCTGTGATGCTGGTCTCTCCAGCTCCCGGGGGTGGCGGGGAAGAGGGAGAGGCCTCGAGACGCTGAGGTCTTGGCAGCCCTAGCTTCTGTGTAATATCAGCAAGCAGGACGGGGATGGGAGGTGAGGGAAGGGGAGGCCACGCCGAAGCTGCTGAAAAGTGACGGTCTGCAGGAACACTTGTGTGGGAGCCAGAGATTTCTACCCGTGGGAACTTGGTCCTCACAAGCGGGAGAAGTCAGCCCCTCTCAGCCTTGGCTCCCTCCACCAGGAGACAATCTCCAGGCTGCCAAGTACTGAAGAGGAAAGGTAAATGGAGGAAAAGAACCTCCCCAAATGGAGGGCCAGAAAGAGCACCTGGTGCCCAGGGAGGCCGGGTCACCGGGCCCAGGGCTGGCAGACAGGCAGAGAGGATGGCCAAGGCTCCCTGGAATCCTTTGGGTTTGCGGGGGGGAAAGTGACTTTCCTACAAGGATTATTTCTGATGAACCCTTATTAGGGAGGGGTGCTAGTAAATATTTAACAACCCGAGTTTTTTTAAAAAAAGACACTTCTGAGTTTAATCTGCAGTATTACCATTTTCTCCATCACTTTAAGTAAGGGCAGATAACAAAACAATCAGACCCTAGTTTGTAGGTTTGCTGATTTCTGAGGTGTCAGTGTTTGCACTGAACATTTAACAATTAGCTCCTTCAGTCTGACTCTCACACACTCCTGATAAATTGACAGGCATGGATTCCAAGCTTCCTGTGGGCAAGTCACAAAGTAAAGCAAAAAACAATCCATGCCTTTATGATGCTCACAGTCTAATGGGGGAGACGGTAGGCAAACAGCGAGACACATACCAGCCAGTTTGCCCAAAGGAGGCCGGGAGCCCCAAGAAATAGGGCACAGTCAGGTGGGAGCAAGAGAAGCTAAGGACCGTGGGAACTGGGGCAATACTAGGGAACAAAGGGAGAGGACGTGGGCTCCATTGTCCATGGACAGTGGAGAGACGTCACTGTACGAAGTAGGTGATCAGCCTTTGCTCGAAGACCCCTAGTGAGAGGAAGCCTACCATTCCTGAGGCAGCCTCTTCCACTCTGGGACAGTCCTACTTGGTAGGAAACTTTTCGTGACAATCCAGCCTAAATCTGCCTCTTTGCACCCCCCTGCCTCCTGCCGTTGGGAGTCAGGCAGAACAAGGCTGATCCCCTCTTCCACAAGACAGTCCATCTCCTGCTTGAATACAGCTCTCATGTCCCCTGTGGGGGTAGGGGAAGAGCCTTCTCCAGGCTCAGCATGCCCAGGTCCTTCAACTGATCTCCATTCCCTTCACTGGCCTGGTTTTCCCCCCATCTGGTCAATGCACTTCTTAAAATGTGCCTGAGACGTTGGCTGAGGCCTACCCAGGCCAGAGAACAGGGGGATCATTACTTCCCTAAACCTAGAAAATCTGCCCGAGGGAATTGTTTTCTGGCTGACTCACATTGAGCTTCAGTCCACTCAGACCCCTAGATCTCATTCAGACAAATCATCATCTGACTACCCTGTGCTTGTGACTTACTGCACTTCACTTCACCTAGTTAGGTTGGTGCTTGGTGACACCCTGGGTGCTTGGTGAGGTGATGGGCCTACCTCTCATGGTGGTTCTTCTAAGCTGAGCTCTAGGCTGGTGGGCTGGACTGACCAGACCCCTCTGCCCTTTGGACTGGGGGCTGCTCTACAGTCTCAAGCCTTTGTGACACTTTCTTTCTCTGCTTTGTTTTTCAGAGTATGATCGATTGGGTTTTCTCCTGAAATTGGACTCAAAATTGTGAGTAACACAAAGTGGGAGGGTTTGTTCCAGTGGGATGTGAAGGGTGAGGTTTTCAACATCTCAAAGTCCTGTCTTTGGCCTTGTGGGGAGGGAGGGGAAGGCTGGAGGCCTCAGCAAACATCTGCTCCCCAGGGAAGCACAGGGTGCCTGGCAATACTGTGCCATGGCACAATGCCACCAGGATTGCTGCTCGGTTAAGGGTCTTGCTGATGCAGAGATTTCAGCCTCTCCCAGCTCTCTCCTCTGACCTGTTCCTCCCACCAACACCTTCAGCCAGGCCGCCTTTACCTGCTGTAGTTACAGTGGTGAGGCAGTGCAGGGAAAAAGGCCAATGGACTTGGAATTTGAGCACTTGGGCTGAGCTGCCAGCTCTGCCAATCACTGCATGTGACGGGGATGGAGAGTGGGCTAGTGGGCCTGATCCGTGGTCTCTTGAATAGTCTCGTAACGTCTTCTCTGCTGTACTTGGTCTTTCGCACCACTGCTAGATGGACTTTGCTGGTGCTTAGTGCCTGCTGGCAGCCCCACAAGTCTCTGGGCGAGCCATCCAGGTTCAGAATACTTTGTGCGTCCATCTCTCTGAAAACTATAGTTCACAAGCCCCCACCAATGTGTTTTCCTTTTCTAGTCATCTAGAAGACACAATTAGTTCGAAGAAAAGACATTTAATGAAACAGTAGTAAGAGAAACAGCAGGAAAAGATTTATTCCACAAACCTCAGTTCATTGGGTTTTAATAAAGTCTTATTTTCTTAAAGTGTTGGTTTTTCTCATCTGGCTACCTAGAGAGTCTCAATCCCTGATACCAGGCTCTTAAAAACAAAATAGAGGTTCCCCTCATCTAGTTAATGTCCTTAGGCTCAATCTTTTCTTTGGACCAGCTTCCCATTTGCTGGACTTGAGGTCTCCCTAGGCTACCCCACTCTAGCTCATGGTGATCATTCCATATTCTTCCCAACTTTAATCTCTAAAAACTAAGCTATAAACTGGGGAGGCGATGGTGATTGTCTTATTAGTTACCAGACAGCTCCAAGGTTCAGAGTTCCCTAGCTTACCAACCCTGAGCTTCTTCTGTTCTCCATGTAAATGAGTGGGCCAGGAAAAAGTCCTGTCCGGGGGCCAAGGTCATTCCTTCTTCTTCCTGCTTGGACGCACACCCTGACACATACTACGTAAAGTACAGGCATCTTTGCCCAGCATCGAAGGCCCTCCACAGTTGGACATCCTGCCCCTACACAGTCTCTTAGCTCTTGCCCCATGCCCCCCCCATCATGAGGCCTCCGAGGAATAAAGGGGTTGGGACCCAGGGCCCAGCTTCCTCCCCAAACTGTGTCAGAAGGAATCCTAGCTCGGGGACCGAATTCAGCAGTCACTGAAGAGTCGCCGGCTGCATGCGGGGCAGTGGCTAGACACAGTTGAGGATGGCGATAGTTGGTTTCTACACAAAAGCGGGATTTTTCCTGCCCTCCTTTCCCCGTATCTGTGCTTTGTCTCCCCCCCCCCCCCCGAGGCCAGGAATGCCTCCTCCTCCACACCTCTGTCCTTATTTCTCCTTATCCTTTCAAGGCCAGCTCTGGTACCCTCTCCTCCAGGAAGCCTGCCCACCCTTGCACCCCTCCCCCATGTGAGCATATCTTGAATGTTGGCTTGCTGGTAACTTGTAGTTTCCAGTTGTGTGAGTTTGTGCATGCTCTAGGGCCAGGGCTCTCTGGAGCTGGACTGCTGGCTCCTTGAACCGCAGCAGGCACTTCATGTGTGTCGTGTTGTTATCCCTGGGGGGTGGACAGGAAAGAGCCCAGGAGATGCTGGGGCCAGCCGAGGGCCCATGCTTCTTGTTGCTGTCTTGTGGGAGTACAGCTGGGGCACACTGGAGCTGTCTGGTCAGGGCTCAGCCTCACCTGGACCCCTTCCCTCCTTATCATCCCTGAGGGCCTTTTGCACCTGCTTCTTTTCTCTCTGGCCATTCCTAGGCTCAACTTGCCAAGCCTGACCCCAGGGCACTCTTGTACCCCAGACTTAGAGCTTGGTCACCAGCCCCAGGCCAGTCATAAGGACTAACATCAGCCCTGAGGCCAAGTCCCCAGGGCCTCAAAATGGTGTAGGAGGATTGGGGGAATCTGGGTTAAGTCCAGGATTAAGTTGGCCAAGTATTTACCAGGTGTCTCCTGTATGCCCAGCCATTCTTGCCCTCAGGAAGCTTACACTATACTGGGAAAATAGGATGCAAACAGATAAATGAGTGTATTTGGGGAGAAAGCCAGTACCAGCTAGGAATAATCTGAGGAGGCTCCCCTTGGGGGTGATGCCAGATCTGAGCCTTGAAGGAAACAAATCTTTGTGGTTTTTTTTTTAAAGGAAAAGGGGTTAATAATTTTATTGATAACAAAAGCCAAAGAAGAAATTAATCCAAGTTACTGCTCAGAACATACCTGTGCCGTCAATACAGATAACGTTCAATCACCATTTCCCTGATTCTCCCTTCTCTCTTTTCCCCCCATTTCTATCCCCTACCTATTGAGAAGGCAAGAAAAACGAAACAGGTTGCACACATATAGAGTCAAACAAGATACTTTCCTGCATTGGCTATGGCTGCTGAATGTCCTCCCCCCCCCCAATATGCACCCTCCCCTCTCTGACTGGAGGTGGGCAGTATGTTTCATCAGGAGTCCTATGGAACCGTGCTTGATCCTTGTGCTGATAGGAGTTCTTAAATCTTTCAGAGTGGCTTATGTTTATAATAATGTTGTTACTGTATAAACTGTTCTCCTGGTTCTGCTCACTTCACTCTGCATCAGTTTATACAAATCTTCCCAGGTTTCTCTGAAACCATTCCCTCGAATTTTGTTGGGCACTAGAAAGACAAATCTAAATGGAAAATACCCTCTGAACTCAAGAAACTTCCTTTCTCTGGGTCAAGTCTCCATGTGGATACTGCTGGACTAACTCTGTTTTTGGCAGATTGCTTTCTAGTTTTCCTGATGGCTCTCCTACCTCCAGGCCTTTGCTTATACTGTGCCCTATGTTTGAAAGATCCTTCTTCCCTCCCTTTGCCTATTAAATGCCCTTATCCCCCCCCCAAAAAAAAACACAACAAAAAACCCAAGGCAGTCCAAGGATCATCTCTTGTGTGCCTTCTTTCCTTCCCTGGTATCTTAGTCTTCCCAGTGCCGGCCCAGGTCTCTATCTGTTGGACTAAGGGGGACAGGCCCTTGTAGGGCCCAGGTACTGCTGATGGACCTGACCTAGTTCCCCCAACCCCGTGCCTCAGCCCCTCAGGGAGTGTTCCCTGTGGAACAAGCAGCTCCCAGACTTATTTCAAGTGTCTTTAGTGAAATACAGAGAGAAGATGGAGTTGTTCCTCCTCCCTCTCCAGGGAAGGCTCCGCTTTCCAGTTATCCACAGAGGAAATGACTTTTTGGAAACCCTTTAAGGGTCATTCTGTTCCCAAGTTAATCAGCATTTCATTTCAGTTAGTCAATCAGCAAGCATTTATTTATTGGGCTTTAAGCTCTTACTCTGTGCTAGGCATCAGGGAAACACAAACAGCCCCTACCCTGGGGAGCCCTCTTTCCAGTGGGGGAGAGGGACAATGTGCAAATTGCCAGGGACCACCAAGATGCCCACCCCAAGGAGATGGGAGGTAATCTCAGGGGAAGGTTTTTACTCATTTGAGACTGGACCTGCCTCTAACCACTGTGAGCCCTACCCGTGCCCAGGCCAGAGCCCTGGGTAGGCCCCTTCTCTTCCCTGGAGTCATTGCCAGGTAGAACCTTTTACACCGAGGCTTGAGCAGCCCAGGAGGCTGGGTCCCATTCCCCTCTGTGCCCCAGGGCCTGGCAGTGGCCATAGGAGAGCAGGGAGCACAGAGCCGTAGCCAGTGTTGTGAAGTGAATGGTGGTGAGTGTGGCACCCTGACACGCAGTGACTGGCCTCTGCCTCCTGCCTGGGCTCCGTGGAACCAGCGCCTGCTGGGGCTACTGTCCTCCTAAGAGATCGGAGGCCTGCAAGGAAGGCCTTCTCATGGTGTCTCTTGGTAATGGCTGTGCCCCTAGTGCCCGTGCTTGGCCTTCCCTGCTGGGCCTCGTTTGCTTGTTCCTGATTCCTGGATATTCTCGGAGCTGGAGCCACATGAGAGGCCTTGGGACCCAGGGCAAAGAACTCAAAAGCAGAAGATGGCATAGAATTGAACAGGTTCACCAAGGGGCAGCACCCATTACCTGAGAAGTGTGTAATGGAGTCAGGGGGAGAGTCTGGACGTGGTGAGAGGAGCAAGCATTTAAGCACCTCTTGTGTGCTAGACCCCGTGTTCAGCATGAGGGACTGGGGAAGGGAATGGGCCTTTGTACAGCACCTACAACGTACCAGACGCTGTGCTGAGTGCTTTTTACAACTGCTCTCTCACTTGTTCCTCAAGATAACCCTGAGAGGTAAGTGCTGTTGTTATCCCCATTTTACAGCTGAGAAAACTGAGGCAAACAGGTTAAGTGACTTTCCCAGGATTAGTTAGTTGGTAAATGTCTGAAGCCAGATTTGAACTCGAGTCTTCCCAGTTCTAGGCCCAGCACTCAAGCCACCGTGCCACCAGCTGTCTGTACAAGGACAGGCTAAAGACAGTGAGTCAGGGGTATGATGTAAGGCGCAGCTAACTTGAAAGAGCAGCCAGAGAGGCACATCCTCAGGGGCAGGGCCAGGTCTCCCAGAGAGTGGAAAGAGGGTGAGAAGACACGTAAAATGAGGGGAGCTTGTTAATTATGGATCAGGAATTCCAGAGGGCACAACGGAAAAGGCAGGCGGAGCTGAAGTGGGCTGTGGGAGGGGCAGGGCTGAGGTGGATGGGGAGGAGGTATTGGGCAGTGGGCAGCTGGGGATCCAGCAGCACAGGCACAGGAAAGGAAATGGAGCTGGGAGATTGCCGGCCGCAGGGGATGAGTCCTGGTGGGGGAGCAGCTCCACGGGTAATGTCAGGGGAGTAGAATGTTCCCGGCTCCTCTGTGTTAG